CCCATGATCTGCTGAGGAGACCTGGCTGTGCAGATATGAGGGGTGACCAAACTTCCCAGGACACACTCTGAATAACGGATCCACCCTATTCAGTCACAAACACAGACTCTGCTGTTAGTAAAGTAACCCTTGTACTCCTGTGCTCCATCAAATAAGGTCACACACTGACAGTCCCATACATTGAGCAATGACTCTGATTCATAAAAGGGTGATGGAGCACAATATGTGCCTCGTTGTTCAGTTACGCAAGTTTTAGTTGTGACTAGTTGTGACTATGTTTACATGACATCAATATTCCTAGCAATCGATGACAGCGTTTACCGCTCTTTTAAAAACAAAGACAGAAGATGTCGTTTTTAGCACTTTGCATCAAGGATGTGAAACGTGGCCAGTGATATGATGAGGTTGCAACATAAAGGCAAATTATGAAAGATTCAAAGATATAGCCCCGTTCACATGTTAGAGAGCATTTTGTGGCTCCCATCATTTACATACATTACGCCATTACCTTCGATGTTATTCCACAAGTTTAAAAAAAATCCCACCATGAAATAGTTTTACGTACATTTTAAGTGTTTTCTCAACATATCTGAATTCGACTACTGCTTATTCTGAGCATGACCAGAAATATCCAAGAATGTTGCAGTGGAATGAAAAAAAACATGTCATACTTAAAGTTTTACTTTCAGTGACATAAGGTTGTTGCTACCCTCCTTGACCAGTCTCAACCCTGCGAACTGAATGCAGACACAGAACGCAGACTATCTCTCATGAAGGGAGTGGTGAAAGAAAGGCTTCCTATCTTTCCCCACCAGCTCTCTTGCTATTTTTTGCTTCTAAAATCAGCTCTTTTCACCCTGTTCAGCACAAAGCATGCAACTCAACTCAGAAAGGGGAGTTTTACCTGGGCAGGAGGAGGTGAACATGGGCAAGGCATGGGCGTCGTGGTGCCTCCTGCGATACCTCTGAATGAACTCCTTCTGGCTCTCTAAGATGCTGAAGCCTGCCGCCAGAGTGGTGTCAAACACGTACTTTACTCCTGTGTGCAACATCCACAGAGCAGAGAACAGAGACAGTGAGTGACACTGAACTGGGGGAGAATGTCAAGCCTCCATGACAGATACCAGTGAGTAGGTGGCACGTTCTCCACACTGATAAAAGTGCAAATGTTTTTAAAGAGCACCGATGAATGAGGCGAAGCAGGCAAACTTAGCCCATTTCTGATTAAATAAAGCCAGTGACAAGTTATTCAACAATTGCTAGGTCAACCTGGGACAACTATTGTTCTCCCAAATCTGTGACATTCTGTGTCTTCCCTTCCCTTTTATAAACTTTATGTTGTCCCTTGTTTTTATTGTCCATGTCAATTTCCCTTCAGAAACAAATACAGTTTTAGTTGAGTTGAGTAAAAAGAACTTCAACAATGCAGGTCAATATAGGTGAGTTTTTAACTGTCTTTAAACTGACGCACTGATTCTTCTGATCTGCTGTTGAGGGAGAGTTCGTTCCACAGTGTAGGAGCTAAAACCATAAAAGCATGATCCCCCTTTGTATTAAAGCCAAAACCAAAATTCTTTCTAAAGCCTTAGAAGCTCAACACTGATGTGTGATTCAAATCCAGCTCACCCAGGCTCTTGAGGAAGCCACAGAGTTTGTGGGCGGCTTCATTGATGTCCACACCAAACTTGGCCGCGAAGAAAGGCAGGGACTGCGGACAAACCGAGGCAGCCACCACCTTGTGCTTCGACGCGTCACACTTCTGAAAGGGACAGGGAAACAATAGAAGATAATACACTGTACAAACTTCCTGACTCTCTGAGATTTCAGAGGGCTGCTGACTGTGTGTTGTACCTTATTTAGTGCGAGAGCACGCTCCAGTTCCTCCAGGCTCTGCTGGGAGATCTTGAGGGTCTCCTCCTCTGAGACGCAGCCGTCACAGGAAAGACAGGCACTCAGCAGCACCTGGGAGCCTTCATTCACCTGAGGGAGAACGAGAAGAGCGGTGAAGGCTTTTAAATGGCGTCATCTAATGAGTTAGATGTGAACTTCCTGAATCTTGTGTGGAAGAAGCTGCATCATCCCTGATATATACAGATAGTGGTGGTAATGATGGCCTATAGGTCTCTTCTAATCCATGTACGGTTAAGGAATTACTATTTATCTGATGGAGCAAAGTATGTGCTAGGGTAGCAGCCCTTTAATGAAGAAAAAAGAACGTGGACTGATTTTCTTTACCACTAATAATTGAACACACATTACCTGTCCGTTGACTTCATCGCTCCTCTCCTGCTGCGCCTTGGCACCTTCATCACTCTGTTTCTTGTTGCACTGCGAGTAGATGGGTAACATTTAAAAAAATGAACAAGACAGCTTCTCTGATCCAGAGTTTAGAGGAGAAACGACTGATTCTTGAGACAGTTGCGACGCTGATCCAGACACTCACCTGTTTGGTGCAGTTCTCACACTTCTCCTTGCGCTTTGCGATGCTGACCTCTGACATTTTCCACGTTGGTTATCTGTAAATTGAGGGCGACAGAAACAAACGCTCATATGTACGTACGTACACACACAGCAGAATTGTCTTGCCAGTGTTGATCATCTCCTCTCAGCATGTTCTTTCTGAAGCAGTGTCATGAGGAGTGTGGCTGCAGTCTGCTGCTGCAGGGTGTTGTTTTGTCAACCCCAACCTCCACTGACCCTGCCTCCCCCAATGTCCTATCACAACCAACGCACTTATCAGAAAGACAACAGCCTCATAATGATGGGAAACCTACAATGAACACAAACTAGTATCCTGTCATTAAAATCTTAATGGTTGGAGTTAATTATACACACAGAGCCAACAGAAAACAGCCCATTACAGAAGAAAAAAGACAAGTATGGGCTGGAAGCTCCCATCGCAAGAGATCACACTTATTGTATGGATACAATTTCAGTCTCTGATGGTGAAAAAGACCTATAATGTTGACCAGCAAATAATCATATATTTATGTCAAGAGATGGGCAATGATACAATATAAATATTTGATTGCAATACCATTATTATCAATAGCAATATGTAAAAGGTCTGCCTAGAGCTCCAGTTTCTTGCTACTGGGTCAGTGACACTCATCTGGAGAAGGTAAAGTTCACATTTCTTTTTACAAGATGTTCCTGTCATATTTCCTAAACTTGTCTGTAATCCTAACCTCCACTGCTTTAAGTCTGGTTTGTCCAGATGTTTGGCATTTCTTTCAGATTTTTATACATTGTGGTGTGGAAATTGTTTTTATTTTGTTTAATCGATTATTATCTCTCTCTAATAATACTTGAGATTCCCCTTGTACACTGGCCTCGCATCAATCAAGTGTTGAAACAGCAATATAGAAAGAGTCTAATATATATCATTGTAATGTTTATGCATTGTTTAAACGCAGTTAGGAGGTTTAACACACTGATCTGTTTGTAAAGTGTCATTCGTTTAAAATCACAACGCTCACTCTGGAGCAAATATCAGTCTTTAAATGTAACGAGAAATAATAATGTGAAAATGATCATGATAATCATCAATATCGACTGTTGCTTTGATATTATTTTTGGCCACATTGTCCGGCCCTTGTGAATAATATTAATAATTCTGCTGAAAATTACAGCCATAACAATCTAAAAACATCAATATTTTAGATTTAGATTTAGATTTAGATTTCCTTTATTGTCCCTCAGTGGGGAAATTCACATGTTACAGCAGTAGCACAAGATTTAACTCCAAAGAGAGGACAAACAAACAAGCAAACAGAAACACACAACATCAGGTAGTATATATAGCAGCAGTTGTACATGGGCAAATAGCAAAATTTTTAAATTGTACTGTGGTTATTGCAGTGGTTAATTGCACATTGCGTGTGTGTGTGTGTGGTCTACTGGGGGGGGGGTCAGACCTGGTTGTTAAATAGTCTGATAGCAGCGGGAAGGAAGGACCTACGATATCTCTCCTTCATACACCTGGGGTGAAGGAGTCGGTCACTGAAGGAGCTGCTCAGTGCAATGATGGTGTCCTGCATGGGGTGGGAGACATTGTCCAACATTGAATATGTGCAATGTTGTAAAATGGCCATGTGTATATTTTCATTTATTTGATTTATTATTATTGATGTAATCATTTATTGTTATTCTATCATAGTTATTAGGGGGGTTAATTATGTTTAGATTAAGTTAATGTGTTTTTCTATTCTTTCACTTATAATATATCATATATATATTGCATTGTAATCATCCCCTGATGTACTCTGCAGTACTGCACCTCTTGTACACTGCACTGTATGAATACAGTGTTGAAACAGCAGTTTAGGGTTTAAACCCACAACCCTCACTCAGGAGCAAAAATCCTCATCAGTCTTAAAAATAAAGAAGAAAGAATAATGTGAAATGTATCGTGATAATTATCGATTAGCAGCTGCTTCCTTAATATCATTGTTGTCGTCCAGCCCTGGGGAATATTAATATAATAATATAGCTGCATTGTAACTCTGCAGAACTGTGAATACAGAGTCATTAAATCCATAAATATGTTAAATCATCAATATGTGCCTCGTTGTTCAGTTACGCAAGTTCTTATGCTGCATGGTGCGTTCAGGGCCTGTATATCTGACGGTAGGTGAATGTAATCGGTGCACAAACCGCATGTATTTCTAACCGTGTTCCGACGGTGAGCCGGGTCTGTGTTCAAACCACATTGTACTGGACGGTTCGCTCACCGGACGCTTTCTATTCCACTGCCCTTCCACACAAAGACAGAGGAGCCGCAGAGGACGAGCTCCGGGGAGGAGAGCGGGGCAGCACCGACTCCGCTCAGCCGGGCAGGTAAACTCTTCAGCGGCCGCTCAGCACTGTCTCATCCTCGGCCTCGGCTCCTCTGTGGACGGTGCCTCCTCCTGCTCACAGCTCCGCGGCCATTTCCCGACACACGAACGAAACTACGGCGCGTCCAGAAGCGTCGGAGCTTCGGAGATTCAAACCGGTGACTCCTCTGCTCGCCTGACTCCGCTGTGCCCCCCCCGGTGCGGCCTCTGCGCATGCGCCAACCTGTTAAAATAATGCACCGATGAAGTCCAGGTTTGCACGGAACGAAATGATTGTATTGTTTGTAAATCACCAGTATAATTCACAAAGTTTGAAAACGTGTGCGGTAAAGAAACCACGTGGCTGAAAACACACAATCCATTGAAACAATGCAGATAAGCTTTTATTTTGAAGTCAGAGTGGATGTGGAGCCGTCCAATCAGAGCTGAAGGATCCCGGAAGGAAGTGTTACACACTAAAGACAGTTGCTGCAGTTGTTTTGTCGAGTGAAATGATCTCAACTTCCTTATAATTCAATACTCGCGCTTCTTCACTCAAACCACTTTTTATTCAATCTTCCAGGCGGAGGTTTGCTGAAAGAACCGACAGTGAAAGGTCAGTGGTAGAAACAGACAGTGGTGATGTGTGCTTCCTCCACCTCTGAGAGGAGGTGGATGGATTGGTGTTGCTCAATGGACTTAAAACATTTCAAATGGTTGTGTCTGATCTCTCCGGTTACAATGTCCTGGTTAGTCTGGCTAACTCAAAGAACCTGTTTGAGACTGTTTCTCACAGTTGAAAGGTTTGACACCAGCATCTCTGAGGATCTCTGCTGGACTAACCTACAAGAGAAGCTTTGACCTGTCACATCAGGAAAAGCATTGGTCGTAACAAATCAAATTATTGATGAGTAAATGGGGATTAAATGATTGTTTGTGTCAATAGAAACATTGGTGCTTCAATTATGTGTTGTGAATTAATTGTTTGAGTGTTTAATACAAAAAATACAGACAAAAAAAATGTCCCAATGCATGAAAAGGAAATGATTTAAGCCCTGGCAGGCATGCAGATCAGACACTAAACAAGTTGTAAAGATATAAAATCAAAACTATAAAAAGCATAAAGTATAAAAAAAACTGAAATTAGAAAAGGCATGTTACTGTAAATTATTTAAATCATTTCCCCGAATTAGATCTGTAAAAAAACAACCTAGGCTATTATATATATTTTTTATAATTTGGGGTGAACTGCCTTTTAAGACCCAGGTAAAATTGGCTTTTGGTAAATACATGACATGCTTGATTCTGCTCAGATGGGATACATGACAGTAGAGGAGCACAGCTCCACTTTGCTCCACCTGAAGAGGTCGCCGGGCATTCGTTCGTGGTCTCTTCTTGTTGGTAAGTGTGTATTTTGACATGATATTTTCAGATATGACACTAGAATTACACTCAGTACAGCACATACCTCCACCAAGGAACAACAGTCCACTTCAATTCAAACAAGCTGCAACAAATTGCACACACCTATAATCACCTGAGTGTTCCTGATTTTATAAAAATGTTTTTTTTATATAAAAAACCCTAAAATTATTGTTTCTTGTCCCATCCTCCCACCAAGTTTCATGGAAATCAGTTTTCACCCTTCTGATAAACAAACAAACAAACAAACAGACAAGGGAGAAAACTTAAGTTCCTTGGTGGAGGTAATACATTTTCACAAAGCATCCGTCCCTGTACTGGCTCAAAAATAACAAACCCTTCATTTTAAATTTCAGGTATAACATCTGTTGGGTTGGCAGCTGCATACTACAGCTCAGGTACAAACACTGAATTTACATTATGTGTTCACCAGATCTTTTCATCAACATCACGTTCATGATTCCCATCTCATGCCGTTCTCTGCTCTTCTTGTTAAATGTGTTGTGTACGTCACGCAGACAGCATCCTGTGGAAGCTTTTCTATGTGACCGGCTGTCTGTTTGTGGCCATGCAGAACATGGAAGAGTGGGAGGAGGCCGTGTTTGACAAAACCAAGAATCTGATCGAGCTCAAGACCATCAGCTTGTACGCTTCAGTCCTGACATTGTGGAAGAAGGGCCAAGAGAAAGGTCAGTGGAGCCACAGAGTTTGTTAGTCAGTACAAGTTTGGTTGGAGATTTTAGAACTTAATTACCTTTCCCCATCTCTCTTTCTCTCTGTCTCTCAGTTGTGTTGGATCTAAAACAGCTCTGTGATATTTGCGTCCAAGAGGAGAGGGTACGCTATCTGGGGAAGGGGTATCTGCTGATGCTGCGGCTGGCTGCTGGCTTCTCCTACCCCCTCACACAGAATGCCACACTGGGGGGACACAGGTATATATCTGCTGCTGACAGTTCCAACACATAAAGCAGACCGTGTAATGAGTGAGAACAGGAAACTGAAAACATAGCTAAATGTGTGCACGCATCAAAACTCACATGTAATAAAACAGAAAATGTGGCATTACTCATTTAGTTCATATTGTCCAGTTGATAGTTGAACATTTCAAATAATTCTCGGAGAACTCCAAAATGAAAGTCCATGCACTCAGATATATGCACCAACATGGTACAGCATGTGCACACCAAGCTTTAGAATGAATGTTACTCTATGATGATGATCGGTATGAAAACAATGATTTTAAGCATGACTAATAATAGACTCATTTAATGGTATGTCCCCATGAATTCATAGTTTTTAACTCTTAATGTTTTTTATTCTGTCGTATACACAGTGAACTTGTATCGGTTCTAAATGTGTGAATGGTTTTTCTGTGTCAACCAGGAGAGACTTTGAATTGACAGCTGAACAAATATTTGATTGACATGCACAACAAAGAAAGTGATGGTATATGTTGTCTTCTGGTGTTTAAACCCCTTAGTGAGGTCATTTGGATTTATGGGGGTGAAGCAGAACGCAGAATAGGAATCCAACCCAGGGTCGATACTACTATTATACTATGGTATCAAATGGAAGGTGATATATTTTCTGCTTTTGTCTCTTCCGTCTGTGACCTGTCAGTGATGTGGAGGCAGTGGCTGCGTTGCTGAAGCGCTTTGTGGGGCTGGATGAGCTGCAGCAGCGCAGGCAGCAGGAAGAAGAGGCAGATGTCGGAGAGGACGACGATTTTGCGGACGACAGCAGTGATTCAGATGATGAAGCTAGTGAACTCTGATCACTGTGACTCGCAGCTTCCCTGTAAATCTGGGTGGATTAAATTAGGGGCATTAAGGAGGGGTGAGCCTTTTCTACATTTTTTCATGTGTGCATGTGAGGTAAGGTTACTGCAGCTGAGGGAGCGTACAATGTTTTGTCAGGGACATATCAAGTTTAATCAACATTTTCCAAATATTTTTTAGAATTGTGGGGAAAGACATTTCCTTTTATTCTACTGTAAATGCAGCTTTCTGTAAATTAATATTGTGTCTCAGCGTTTCTGCTGTAATTACTATAAGAATACACTCCAGATTACAGACTTACTGTGCCTTCCTCTTGTACTCTAATAGGTGTTTATGTGTAAAAGTCAATGGAAAGTGCCTTTCCCACAGTTTGGCCCACCCAGCTGATAATCACCTTTTTGCCAGTTTATAGCTGTAATCTGAATAAGCATGAGCAAACTGTAACCAGGTTTAACAGATTTTCATGGCTCAGTCAAGAGTAATCTATGTGAAATTATTGGGCTGCTGCTGATCTGGTGTGTAACATTGTTTTATACTTTTTGTGAACCAAAGACTGAATTTCAGGCAACACCTTGGTGATTTAAAGTGTTTTCTTCCTGTGAACTTTTCTTTGTGTATTGAATCAGGGCTGTGTCTAATGTCAAACAGTGAATGTTTGTGCTGCTTGGGAGAAAAACCCGAGGATTTTGGGTTAACTGTTGGTAGATTTTTATTGTCTTTGTTAACTTTATTTCTTTTGCAGAAATTATATAAAAATGTTTTAATACAAACCCCAAGTCTGCATGCGCTATTCTTTCATTTCTTTTTGAACATTATTGCAGTTTACAATCATCAGTCTTTTCTTGGGTAAAATTAAACATACAATAGCTTAATTAATTCACATATAGCTTGCCAAAACAAAATGGAGACCAATATCTGAATTGGTCTGAGCAGCAGTTTGATTTTGAGCTGCCAGTGTTCTTCTACGGCACCATCTCCTTCACACACGCTACGATATCCTCTGCTATCCTCTGTAAAGGAGCCATCACAGGGCTAACATGCTCCTCCATCCACTCTTGGGCTGTTGACTCTGGGTAAAGATGCACCATCTCCTCTCTTACTGTCTCTGCCTTCTGTTGCAGTGTGGTCAAAAATCTGACGAGATGAGACCAGGTGGAGATTCAGTTATAAGACAAAACAGAGTTCTGAACGCAGTATGACATTGTTATGTTCGACAAAGACTAACAGACAACAAAGCTAAAGGCCTCCAGCCCTTCTTGCTGCACTCTGAGGCTGTAGAGAGGCACAATAAGCTGTATAAAGATGGACGATCAGAGGATGGAGCCATGGTAGTGTGTTCCCACCAATACACATGCTCGACCAGTCATGTGTCAGTCTTAGTTGTCAGTCATGATGTTTCACCAATGGTTTTTAGCATCAAATTAACTAGCAGAAGGCACCGAAACTTGAACATACATTCGTATCATACACGTGATCTAAAATGAAACCATCTTTAAGAAAAATATATTTGTTGCGTACTTTGACTTTTTAGTTTGGTCCATTTATCACCCAAAAGTGTCTCTAAGACTTTACTGAATCACAAAGTTTTGCTGTAATGTAAGAAACTTGTGCTCACGTTGATGCTTGGTTATGAATCTCCATGGTGATGAGTGGGGAGACCATCTTCCTCTGTTGTTGGTAGGGGCTGAACCATCCTCTAACAAGCCTGCAGTATGAGCATACAGAGCTATTCAAACATATCTGCTCTTCACAACCGATGAACAGAAGTCAACATTATGTCCATTTTTGCAGCAAGCAGCTGGTTAGTTAGTTAGTTAGTTAGCATGCAAACTGGAAAAGGACATAGCTAGCCTGGTTCTTGCTGGCCCAATTTCAACCAGCATCTCTGCAGCTCACTTTGTTCAATGTGTAAAAAACAGTTTTGGGAACTATGTGCATGTACTGAAGTCCAGACTTTATTTTTTACAGAGGGACTGTGTGACGACACAAATGTCCCAATAAGTTGCTTCAGACATTTTCTGCAACCTTTCCCGTCACCCCCCCCCCCAGAGTAAAATCTCAGTTGAATTTCTGATTAACCCCTTGTGAGAATACAGCAGGAACATTTCTGGAAATTTCAAAGCAAACATATGCAAATGTGTGATCACTGCACATGACTCACATGCTGTTCTGAAAAAATCGTATGTCCTCCGAGTTCATCAGTGCATCGAGCTCCACAATTAACTCAGCCAGCCTCCTTCCTGGGAACAGTGAGTCGACTGTAGATCTCCTAAGAGAAAAAATGTCAGAAGGTACCCCAACACTATGGAGAGACCGTTGTTCTTAAAACAGTGCCAGACCTCACCTCTCCATGACGTCCACCTCCACTGAGGAAATACCCAGCTTCTCAGTCACTTTGCTTAGAGCCTCAGCGCTGAGCTGACCATGGAGGAGAGTCTGCAGACAGGCTGCTAGTGATGGAAGAGCCACAGGCATCAGCTCACACAGCACTGACAGGTGGTCATACCTGACATAGGGAGAAAGGGACCCTGTTAAAATGTCTGTGCTAATTACTGGACATTTTAGAAAACTGAGGTTTCTGATGGAACATCACATTTCTGAGTCATCAAGTCCAAAGTGTCCATCAAAAGCTTCAATACATTTATATACACAACATAATTCCTACCTTTGCCAGCCTGTGAGGGCGATTCCCTTCAGGTGTATGGCAGCAGGTAAAGCAGCAGCCACCTGCAGCCACTGCAGATGGTTCTCCACATGTCTCTGCGTGCTGGGCACACAGGTGTAAACGGTGGTCGAGCCTTTAAAGGAGCTGGCTGCCCACAGCTCTGACATGCCGGCACTGCAGTACTTCTCCAGCAGAGACACTGGCCGACACAGTTAGAGGGCGCACATCACTATTAACGTATGCTTTTTGATAATGTATCACCAATTCTGATGGTTAACAGTCCCTACCAGTTCTGTCCACATCCAGGTCAGGGGTGTAGTCCCACAACATAGGCTGGACAAGTCCTACGAGACCGCTGGCTGTTTAAAAAAAGAAAATAAGTTTGAAACTGCTAAAGAATGAATAGAAACGTTCAAATTAAGAGACATTTGGATGCAATGATACCAAAAAACAGCAATGGTCCTTCAAATGGAAGACCAAGCAGGCCTTCAACACAATGAGGGCAATTTTACAATGATATTTATTTTTATTTTTTTATTTTATTACTATGGACCATGCCTCTGAAACAGCCTTCTTGAAAACCTGAGGGCAGCACAGTGTTGATATTTCTAAAAGCAAACTCAAGATCTACCTTTAAGTCAGGCTTTCAAATGAATTTTATTTATTTATTTGACCATTTATCTATTTTAAGCCTGTTTTATCATTCGGTATATTTTTTTAATTCACTTGCTTTATTAACTTTATTATCTTCAGATTTTATTCCTTTAAATACATTATTTAAATGTATTTAATTTTGCTCACTTAAATAATCTATTCTTTCACAGAAGTGCGTTTTATTCGCTGTACATCTTCTTCATTTATTTCTCTTCTGTTGACTCTTTCTCAGGGCTGTTTTGCCGCTATTCCATGGGGCTTCTTTTGCTATAGCTGACTGTGTTCTTTATATTTACTAGTTCCTTGGGCACAGTTACTTTAAACGTGAAATCCTTAAACTGCAACAATAGCTCTGCTTTAGTGAGAACCAGCGGTTCTTCCTCACCCTTGAGCGTGTCCTGGCTCATACTCCTCATCATATCATCCCACATTATGATGCTCATGTCCGGCCACGCCTCCTTGACGGCCTTGGCGATCTTGGTCACGTGATTCAGGAAAAGTTGCTGCACTGTACATTCTGGGGAGGAGGCCAACCACTCCTTTGACTGCTCCCCTTCACCTAGCATGTACACCTAGAGGGCAAGCACATGAGTGATGCTGGTAGCCCAGTGATGACTACACAGCTGGTAGAAAAAAAAAAAGTCCTCACCTCGTCTGCTCCGATGTGCAGCGTGTTGAGACCAGGATGCAGCTCTACCACCTGCCTCAGCATCTCCATCACTATCCTCACCCCGTCCTCTGCGTGTGGATTCAGGGTGCCCACGCAGTGCGGCACCTCTCTGAGGCCCCACATGGACCGATGCTTCAGCACAAACTATGACAGAGAAGCCACAAACAGTGCCTGGTGGTGAACTCCAAATCTGAGCAGCTGTAGCCACGTCGTGAACAGTTGTAACTGAGAGAGCAGAATAAGTTGACTTTAAATATCTGTTCTCTGTCCTCATTGAGCTCATTCAAAAATATTTTCTCATTTGATAGGAAATTGCTTACTTTTTCAGCAAGGATGTCGCAGTTTTTTTAGGAAATCGTGGATTTTTAGTCCAAGGCCGTATCTTTTGTCCTTTCTCTCCTTACTCTGTTCTCTTGTTGGTTCTGCAACTGTTGCGTTTCATATTATTGTCACTTGTACTTTTTCTTATTTGTACGTGTTTGGAGACCCCCTCGAAAACAATAGCTGTTCATCCAATGACAATAAAGTTCTATATGTCTGCCTCACCTCCATGTGGCCAAACGTCTGCACCAGCGGGATGACGTCCATGCCCTTCGACCTGGCAAACACCTGCATGGATAGAACCTCCTCTCGACTGGAAACACAGCACACGGTGAACAGACTCACTTACCGAACTTCATGAATCAAAGCTTGTTACGGCACATCAGACTTGCACATGAAATATTACTTCCATCTCACACAGGAAGGATCATAACTGTATAACAGGTTCTCACTACACGATGAGGATTTTATCTATAGCTCTAATAATACATAACAATCAATAGTAATGAAAATAGCAGTGCTGAATGGAAAATTTCATGTCACAGGGTTAATGTGGTTACATTACCACAACATTATGTCCTTTCCTCTCCAGTGTCTGATTACAAAATACCTGACATTCAGCTTCTCTCGGATTCATTGTGAATATTCTAATGAATGTCCTATAAAAGCTGCACAGGAAAGATCCTCATATGAACAATCACTTCACAGATCCTTTGTGTAATGGAATGTGTGTTATTGTGTGGAGACATTACTGAGGCCAGATTCTTACACAGGTGCCATCCAGAGTTTGTGTTGGACAGGGTTGTACAAATTCCTGTCTTCATTGTCCATTATTACCTGTCACTTGTTTACTCGAGTGAAAACCTCCGCCTAGGTCCAACAGTCCCCTTGTACAACCACATTTAAATTCAACAGAACTGGATTTTGATTTGGATCTGCACCCAATTGTACACTCATAAATACCAGTCTCCTAAACATGGCTAATTCTGTTCATCAAGATCCAAGAATTAGTCTCTGGTAAAAAAAAAGAAAAATGCAGATAATTATAAGAGAGAGGAATAAATAAGGCACATGTGGAACACTGCACCTGTAGGCAGGCTGTGCTGTGGCCTGCAGCAGCTTCAGCTCCCCTTCATATGGAAACGTGTCCTCATACTCCACCAGCAGGCCATCCACTCCCAGCTGAGAGAACAGCGAGATCAGCTGAGGAGAGGGAAGGTGGAGGTTTACAGAGACAGACAGAGACAGTGTGTGTGTGTGTCTATAGTTATGCAGGGCCAATTTTAGTTCAATACTATCATTGTGAGGACATTTTGGCTGGTCCTCACAAAGTCAATGGGCTGTTTGAGGGTTGAGACTTGGTTTTAGGGTTAGAATTAGGTTTAGGTCAGGGTTAGGCATTAAGTTGTGATGGTTATGGTTAGGGAATGCATTATGTGAATGAGTGTCCTCACAACTATAGAAAGACGTGCATGTGTGTGTGCGTGCGTGCTCTTACTTCATGGAGGTACTCTGATCTGGGAGGGGCACCTTTCAGATCCAGGTGAACCAGTTTCTTCCCTCCTGGCCACGGTGGACTCTTCATGCTGCTGCAGGAAATAAACGCAGGTTTCTGCTGTGTTTTCTTCTTTGACACAAAGAGTGTGACTCACCAGGACTGTGGAGGTTGAGACACTGGACACTGGATCGGATCACAGAGCCATGACTCTGAGGAGGATGTTGTTGAGTTAGATCACCTGACTGATCCTGCACGATCACTTCCTTCTTCTCCTTACGTTACATGGCTGGTAAACAAAGAAAAGGGTGAAATACCGCCCCCTCCTGGAAAACATTGTGAATCACACGAGTAAACTATATTCTTCAGCGAAGTCCTGTCTTTTAAAACTTAACATTTAAGAGACTTTGACATTGTAGAACATGCTATTCTCCGATATTGTCTTTATAGATAATAAGTAATGTTTGCATTTATTTTTAAAACATATTAGGGAGGGTTTACTGTTCTTCCATTTACTTTTATGTACGTGATAATACTGTTGATCATGTTCGACACCTTCTTGGGAGAACATCCCTAAGAATC